TGAAATTCTTTTCTTCTCTTTCTTTTTTTGTTATTTCTCACCTCTGGTTTTTCTCTGAGTGTTCGTCTTTTTGTTGTTGTCGGTCTCTTGGGGAGATTAAGCGTTGGAACTCGAACTCTCTTTTTGGTTGGAGAGAGCTGTGGCGTTTCCCTACTGCCCCGTCGCCATCTTGGTCCCCCCTCCTACATGATTTGATATTTATTAAAGCAAATGAGGACATTTTTATTGTATCTATGAGAGTAACAGAAGATTAAGAAAGTTATTTTATGGTACTCGTTATCTTGCCCATGTAATTGTAACTCCTCTGTAGGGTATTCTCACAATAAAAGATAAAATAAAATAAAATATAAAAAAAGAAAGTTACTTTATGAACCAAAGATTGGCCTTCTACTTAAATCATGCATGAATCAACCACATAATATTATATAAGAAGAAAAAAAGTCTAAATAGAGCCAATCCTTGAGGTGTTCCCCTGAAATTTTAATTTTTTTGGAGGTAAAAACACATTTGCATGGTTTAAGGACAGATTGGACCCCATTTCAATATGGATGTAGTGGCATGCTACTGTAATCCTAATTATGTAGGAGGCTTAGCTGGGAGGATCACACACTTAGACTGACTCATTTAAAATGTCAGACCCTGTTTTAAATTTAACTAAAGCCAAACCAGTTGGGGCGCAGTTCAAGTTTCAGGGAGCTTTTCTGGCAAGTGTGAATCCCTGATTTAAACCCTCAGTATCACCAAAAAATTAATACCTAAATAAAAAATAATAAAAATAAAAACAGGTATAGGAATTAATTTTTTGTTATCTAATTCAATAAACCTAGTAAAGTAACAGATCAATGAAAGCAATATTTCAAAAATTGTGTACTGCTGTGTTGCCTAGTTGCTCAGGAGGCTGAAATCTGAGGCTCCTGATTCAAAGCCAACCCAGGCAAGAAAATCCATGAGACTCTTATCTCCATTTACCACCAGAAAACTGGTGCTGTGGCTCAAAGTGATAGAGCACTAGCCTTGAACAAGAGAACTCCCAGGCTATGACAGAGTTCAAGTCCTAAAACTAGCACAATAAAAATTATGTAGAGGGCTGGCAAGGTGGCTCAGTGGTAGAGTGCTTGCCTTGCCTTGCATGAGGCCCTGGGTTCGATTCCTCAGCACCACATAAGCAGAAAAAAGCAGGAAGTGGTGCTATGGCTCAGTGGTCGAGTAGCCTTGAGCTGAAGAGCTGAGGCCCAGGCCTAGAGTTCAGGCTCCACGACTGACCAAAAAAATTATGTAGAAAGAAATCATAGGAAACTAATATATTTATGTTATTGTAGATGGGTTAGATAATAACTGAGTGGATAAAAGATATGACATAAAGTCATTTGTGCTTATATCTGGTGTATTAGGCTGGTTTATGTTCATATTCATTTTTACATACAACTATCTCTAACACAAAAGAAGAACCATGCATGTACTAGGAAGAAAGAGCATATACTACAAAATATTACTTTATTAAATATATTTATTATCTTTAAGTAATTGTAGAAAGGAGTTGCCATTCAACAAAAGAGTTTATGAATAGGATGTATTTCAAATGCTTTTTATTTTTTATTTATTTTATTTTAATTTTTTTATTGTGAAAATGCCATAAAGAGGTGATACATTACATGGTCAAGGTATTGAGTACATTGCTTATCAAGCATTGTTGCCTCCTCCTTTGTTTCCCCTTCCCATCTCCCCTTCCCCCCAAAGTTGTAAAGTTCATTTTTCAACATCTCATAGTTGGAATGGGTCCGCCTGTATCCTGAAGGGACAAAACAAATCGTTCAAATGCTTTTTAGTAACACTACATGTTGCAGGAATTCAGCTGATAAAAATTTTCCTTATACATGATATTGGAGAACCATTAATGGCACCACAAAACATTTATTTCTCAGTGAATTTTCTATCCAACACTAACTTCTGTATGGCTCTCTTCATGGCTTCATTCCTCAGACTGTAGATAACAGGGTTGACTGTTGGGGGAATTACTGTGTAAAAGATAGAAAGTAAAATATCTAAGTCAGTTGAGTAGTCTGAGGTTGGTTTGAGATATGCACACATGCCTGTGGAGAGGAAAAATGACACAACACAAAGGTGGGGCAGGCAAGTGGAGAAGACTTTAGACCGGCCTTCAGCAGAGGGTATTCTTAGAACTGTGGAGAATATGTGGATGTAGGAGAGGGCAATGGAGATGAAACAGACTAAGGCTGCCAGAGATATGAACACAACAACTCCAATGACTGTAAGATAATCATTGGAGCAGGAGAGCTTGATCAGTTGGGGGATATCACAGAAGAACTGGTGAATTACTTTGTCTCTACAGAATGTGATAGAAAGTGTGGTAGCTGTGTACAAAGTTCCCGTGATACCTCCGCTGACCCATACAGCTATCACAGCTCTTGTACATTTTCTGGGATCCATCATGAGTTCATAGTGCAGTGGGAAGCAAATGGCTACATAGCGGTCATAAGACATCACCGTGAGAATGGCCAATTCAGCCCAGCCCAAAGACGTGAAGAAGTAAACCTGCAGTTCACATTGAGCATAGGAAATATAGCTGTTGCCTGTGAGGGAATTGCTAATGGACTTTGGGACTGTGACAGAAATAAAAGAGAGGTCCAGAAGGGAAAGGTGCTTCAGAAAGAAATACATTGGAGATTGGAGATGAGGGTCCAATGTGGTGATGGTGACAATGATGAAGTTACCTACTAAGGCCATTAGGTACATCACTAAGAACCAGAAAGCATGTGAGAGCTGCAGTTCACGACGGTCAGAAAACCCCACGAGGAGGAATCCAGGCACTGTGGTTCCATTTGTCTTCGTCATTTTGAAAATAAAAAATTGTGGCAGCAGCTGGAATAGTAAAAGATAGAGATATGTGGTAGAATTATAATAAAATAAATTATATATTTATTATTCTTTATTCCAATGATTCATGTTGTAAGTACTTGTTATATACTAGATTGTTATTTATTTGATGTTGATAATCCAAAGGTGAAAAATATATATATTTCTAGTCTATGTGGAATATTCAATTTACAGTCGTAAAGAAGGAGTAACTTTTGAGTGTAAATGTGTCTAGATGTGTAAATGGGTGTAAATTTGCATTCAAGGGAAAAATGTGTGTGTTTGCTACTTGAGAAACAGTACTCCCTTTACAGAGGAAATCCATTGATTTGGTCAAAAGTAATCTACACAAATACTTCAATGAGTGCTTGGTGACAGATTTCTAAACATTGGGTGGGTTATGTTTGTGTTATTAGCATATTTGTTTTGTATTACTTATTATTTGTATTACTTATGTATTAACTATGATTAACTAATACTTCTTTACTTCCGTGATAACAATACGATCATTTCCTTGAGAGGTTCCATTATTTTGGGACCAAAAGCTAAAATAGGTAATATAATAACCCTTTTAATTGCAGTTTAATTAGCTTGATATTTCATTTAAAAAAAAAAGAAGAGAAAGGAGCTGCATTCTACTCCCAATTTGGTATCTCATTTGATTGTATGACATATCTAGTAAGCTCTCTTTCAACACTTTTTAAAATAATTTTTATTGAAATTAAGTGATTCCATAAATTTCACAAATTTCACAGTATTGTGGGTTAATAATACTGAAAGTGACAAACACATTTTAACTTTCACAGGGCAACTTGTCATTATCATGGTCTATAAAGTTTGTGAATTCTATGAACATTGACAATACTACTATTTCTTCCACATTGGGTGATATGTACATTTCTTTCCTTTTCCTTTTCTTTCCCTTTGCTGTTTCCTCTTTCCCTCTCATTCCCTTCCTCCCATCGCTGTCCTTGAGTTGCTTTAACTGCTCTTTATTTACACTTCAGGTGAGACAATCAAATTGGTGTTCATTGTATACTACAAAGGACCTTTACAAAAAGACAGTTCTTTCCTCAAATTTCTTTTTATCTTTACATCTAACTTTTATCTCAGTTGCTCTTGGATAGTGTTAAAGTCAACAGAAAATATATCCACAAAAAATTTTTAGGAAGAGGCTAGATTTAGAGAGTAATCAACATTTCAGAGAAGGGAGGCTTTCTAGTTCCTTAGGCAGGATTTTGTACTTTATAGAATGGAAATACCCATTTGTTCTTCTGTCACTAACTTATTTTTTTAATTTAATTTTTATTTATTTTTTATTGTGAAAATACTGTATAGAGGGGTTACAATTACATTTCTTATCAAGCATTGTAGCCTCCTCCTTTGTTTCCCCTTCCCATCCCTTTCCATCCTCCCCCCCCCAATACTAGCTTGGATATTAGCATTTAAGGATTAATTAGTAATTGATCTCTTGTTATCATATAGTCTTCCATTCTAAGTAACAAATGCAAAATTTTCTATATCAGTCTTTAATAGTATTTGTTCTAAACTATGTAAAATCTCACCTGATAGCTTTTTGTGGCTCAACAAATCATCCTTTTAGAAATGATATCTACAGACTATTAAACTATGAGGTGAAGACTCTACTTTGATTACTGACCAAACTGAAAGAGCATTTTTTTGTCATCTTATTCCTGCCTTTTCTATTAACAGTGCAGAATCATTTTGGCTCCTCCTCATCTTTGCTCTGTTGGAGAATGAACTTAGCATCTTGATTTTATTGACTGGGACACTTCACTAGCTTCAGATTGCAATACAAATTGTTGTTAAGTTGTTGTTGTTATTGTTGGTGTTGTCATTTTTTGTCTGACATGGGGCTTGAACTCTGGGCCTGGAAACTGTCCCTGAGCTCTACAGCTCAAGGCTAGCACTCTACCACTTGAGCCACAGCTCCACTTCCTGTTTTCTGGTCGTTAATTGGAGATAAGTGTCTCTCGGACTTAACCTGCCTGGGTTGGCTTTGAACTGTGATCATCAGATTTCAGCCTCCTGATATTTTGGCCATGAGCCACTGGCACCCAGCTGGTTGTTAAGTTTATTAGAAGATTTCAATTTTTGTTTTAATTGCTACCCTTGAAGATCTCATGACTCTTATCCTATGACTATGAAACAGATTTATTTTACCTAGAGTGTTCTCAAATTTACTGATTTCCACCCAAATATCAAACCATGTAAGAAAATATGAAGCATTACAGATCAGGTTAGCATTTTAACATAACTTTTTTTTTGATTTTTAAATTTAATTTTATTTTATTTGTGAACATACTGTACAGAGGGGTTACAATT